CCCCCCAGCAGGGCGGCAGGGGCGGGCGGGCCCGGCTCTGCTCCCGCTGCTGACAGGGACGCGGCTTGGGGCCAGGGCAGCGCTTCCCAGCCGGTACGGTAACAGAAACAGAGCAGTGTAAGCACCTCAWAGGCGAGACTAGGCCCCTGTCTCACCGTTTCACTGCATATTGCCCCTACCACAAAGCAGAATCAGCTGTACGTTTAAAACATGGTCCAGCCTGTTGCACCTGGACGAAAGTTCATCTCACAGACTGCACTTGTGGCCGTAGCCTTTCCCAAAGGTCTYGTCAAGGTTCAATAGAAATCATTCGCTAGCCTTTCCAGCCTAGTACACTTCTGTAAGCGAAGCAGTGATTGTTGGCTAAACCTCACTTGTTGCTCAAGGAGAGTATCTGTTCCAAGAGCAGCGACACCGCCAYGCAGGTGGTGCACAAGAGAAGGGAGATGAAAGTTCAGGGAAGCAGGATAAAAACATTAGCCCTGCACCAGGGCTGGGCTTTGATAATGTTTTATGTAAAGTCTGTAAAACATTAATACATCTCTCGGCTAGCACACTAGCCCCAGCAGTAAACACGCTGACGAGAGCCACCTAAACGTTGCTTCCTGAGCAGCAGCAGTTAATTTCCAACCCAAGACACTGCATGTAAAAACCTGCGGCTGTGCGTGCCCATGTTCGGCACTGCCCTCTTAYGGAGAAAGCGCTGTGTCTCACAGAGCCTGGAAGGGGCTGATGCCAGCACTCAGGAGAGCAGGCTCTGCACTGCTACATTTAGGTAAGTAGTCGCATGCCAACAAGGAGCCGTACCCACGGGGCATTTTTTTATGACCTCCCTCCCTGAAACCACTCCATGTGCAAATGCAGCCCAGTACTTAGCCAGCATCATGCACGGAGCCAGTCGACGCAGTGGAGAGGCTGCACATTGCGCTGGCAGAGAAACCTTCAGAATATAAGAAATAAGAGGTATGAATACAAATATAAAATATCTATATAATATAAATATGAAAATAATATAAATATAAAATAATATAAATACTACTAATAAAATGAGGTATGAGAATATAAAGAGGTATGAGAATATAAAATAAGAGGTATGAGGCAGCTTCTATCTTCCAGTTAGTCAAATCCCTGCATCTTTACCCTTGTAGTTTCCATTTAAAATATTTTCATATCTGTGAATAAATGTATCACACGCTAAACTATACTTCATAAACAAACTCTGCTTTCCCTCTAGTGTATGCCATTTCTTGCCTTCTGGAAGCCACTGAATAAAGTAAGAAAGAAGTRAAGGGATGTAGATGGAAGAGAACAGCAATAGCAAAACGTCTGTCAGGCACATAGCTACTTAAGCACTAACCTGTGTTCTGTGTCCAGCATCCCCAGTGCAATAAACCTGCCATGACCCCTCTACTCCTCCTTCCCCTGTGCCAATACCTTCTGTTTCTCTTACAGTGCAACCAGTCCACAGGATTTATGTCTCCAGTCCTCTCCCTCATGCTATTTATTCCCTCACCTTCCCAAACCATATTGGAGTAATTCCTGTTTCTAACACATCTCCAAGTACCTTTAGTTTTCCCTTTGTCTTCAAAACAAGAGGCAGTGTATTCTAGCTAGCTGACCAGCTGGCCAGCCAACAAGAAGAGATAATTTGATCTCCGTGAGAACTCTTCTTTGCCAGGAATCATTTGATCTTTCCTGGATATGATCATTGTTTTCTCTAAGACCTTTCAAATTTTAACATATTTAGAAACGTACTGCCACACTCTGCCAATGAATGACAACCAGTTGGGAAAGGGGCCTGACAGATACACACCATACTCAATCAAATCTGCTTCCCTACAAATTTGACTACAAAATGTTACAAGAGACTTAAGAATAGCCTTCCACTTGTCAGCATGAAAAACCTTTTGAAATGTACAGACATTTGTAATCAAATGCACTAAAGAGCAAAGTATTATATGAGCTAAACTACACTAACGCACTGAAAAGCAAAGCACCACATTACCTCATTGTAACACCACAAAATACCACTGAAGATCAYGATCCTGATGGCACGATAACTAGTATGCCTGAAAAAGTAATATTAGCAGTATGTGTTGATTCATAACTGAGCAACCGAATGCTGAGTAAGAGCAAATCCTTGCTGTTCCCACAGCAAATCCTTGCCTGTGGGAACAGAGAGATGAATAAAACATACTGGCGAATTGTATCCTTGAAATCTGAGATCACTTCAATGACTCAAAATCAAAGTAATAGGAATCCTGGAAAAGGACTTGTGTCCTATCGGGAAATGTGTAAGAGAAGACAGGAGTCTTGAGTGAGCCATCAGTTGATTTTTTTTTTCAGTTGTTCAGGAATTAATTTTAACAATAGTATTATTTGTACTAAAAAGAATAAACACACTTTTGCTTTAATATATACTTTTTTCACGCTAAAATAAACTTTTATAGCTATTTTTCCAGACAAGATCGTATTTCACCATTTGTAATTTCCGCATTAGCACATCATTTCCATCAGTGCTCCATCCACCATTCCATTCCATCCTCCAAAAAGACCATCTTATTTGCTTGGAAAGTGACCACAGAAGATGTGGTGGCAATTTCCTTTCAAAGGCTAAAAGCCAAGAAAACTCTCATTGACATCAATTTAGTGAGTTTACCACTGATCCCCATCCTGATATTACTGTATTTATATGAGTAACTATAGCACACAGTGAGGGATGGCTAACTTGCCTCGGTCCCTAGTGAAAATGCATGTTCAGATGTTTTCTGTGACATTGTTCTTTTCCCATTGAAGAATCCTAATTTATTTATTTTCTCAATGATATATCCATAATGCAGTTAGTGTTAGCTTTAAACTCGGTTACTGTTAGCATAATTCTGGTAATACAGAGCTCAGCATGGTTGATACTTATCAGTCAGTTTGATGGCAAACTGAGTTTTTTGCTCCCTCTGCTGCTCTTTGTCCTCATGTTATTAATCACCAAGCCTGAAATGGCCCTTACTACAGATAAAGTAAAAAAGAAAAAAAAAAAAAAAAAAAAAAAAAAAAAAGGCCAGAGAATAATGCTTATTAAAATAAAACCTAGACAGCACAATCAAGAAAGTTTTAGAAAAGAGAGAGTAAAAAGAAGTGCAAGAATCTCTGGCCTAAAATGCTTATGCTAAAACCAAGTGAATTCTTTTTGTTCCTACATCCAGCTGATACACTACCGATTTAGATCTGTATGTTGGTCGTAGTGTTCCTCTGCTTTGCCGGRACTAGTGCTCTGTTCACAGGAAGCATTCCTGTGTGGACAATCCTGTTCAATCCTGTCCTAGGAATATCACTGTCTGATTCAGATCTGTTCTCTCAAAGATTTGTAACTGATTCAGGATGCAGCTTTAGAATTATTGACTGCCTTATATTTTTGGAACACTTACACGCTATATTTAGTGTGCTAGATTGTTAGCAATTTTTAAGCTACTGAATAATCTTCCTGACCTTCAAAGGCTATGTACAAGTTTCAGCATAAAACTTCTTGATGATTTGGTTGCTACCTTTCATACCAAGAGTAAACTGACAACTACATAAATACGTAAGCAGTTACCATGTTACTCCAGACTGAGATCAAGACAGAACTGT